TGTCAAATTTTACCTTTGGTCTTCGGCTTTCCAATGATTGCACTTGGATCTTAAGTATCCACACTTTGGTTTCCTCCTGTGTTCTCTGGCTTGCTGGTGTCTCTGCCTCTCTTAGGTTGTTCTGCAAGGAACTTCTGCTTACATTCTTGCCCAGTGAAGTGCAAACCTCACTATATCCGGGAACTATATCAACATCTAGGCTGAACCAGTTCCAGGCAACCCCTGAAAAAGTAGTTCAAATGTATTTCTAAAAGATTATGCAATCTCTTAAAAATACAGATTGAATCCTTCTATCCCTCTCAGTAAAATTATGCAGTGGTTCCCTGTAACTTATAGAAGTTCAATTTTTTTGCCCTCAAAGCCCAGTCTGGGTTTTTAAGACACCAAGCCATAGGAATGGCAGGCCTAATTAAACAGTTATATGCATTTTCCCCACACTTCTTAGATTGCATAGTAATAAAATATAACACTGAGTATTTTAATCTGCTTTGGAATTTCTCAGAGAAATAGAGTGATAATAATATATAAATTATAAGTTGGGTGTCTTTTGGGGGAAAGGAGTGAAGAACAGAATTAAGTAAATGCTTATTAATACTAAGTATGTATCAGTATTGATTTATCCAGCCATTTGAAAGATCAGTACTTTATATATCTTATACAAACTGATTTAAAATCTTGAATTATACATATCTAGATTGCATCTAGTGTTTAATCAATTGGACGCTTACGAATAATGGATAAATGATTTTTTGTCATACAGAATTGAGCTCTGCTTTTCATGCAGTGAGAATAACACTTTTCATTTTTACACTTATGCAATTGATTGTAAACTTTGGGATAATATAATTTAAATGGAGCTAAACAGTCCATTAGCTATGTCAGTGCCTCCTCTCTTGCCAAGCTGTAGTTTTATGCTAAGCTGTTGTGTACTGTGTTACATAATCCCCTGCATTCATTTTCTCCACCTGTTTAGCTTGAATATATACAAGGTGACTGCATTGTCTCTTCAACCTCCTTCTCAGTATAAACACCAAGTATAAACAGATTTTGGGTGCTATTTTGTTTTTTCTAATGGAGGATTCAAAGGATTGAATAAGGTTAGAAATGCATGTTTGTCACTATTTGGTTTTGCCCGTTTTAGTTACCCTTACTGTCAACTTAGTGTGATTTTCAAGGTGATAAGAGAGTGGTTGAGTCTCAGCTACTAGAAGGAAATTAAGATAGATTGGGGGTCTTATAAGAAAAATCATGTCAGTTGTGCAAGTGTACAAAACAGTGATTTCTTCAAGGTCCTCATTTTTTTCTCCTTCTCCTTTCTAGCCCTTGATATGCTCTTTTAGAGACTGGGTTATTGGGAGGCGGAGGTTGCAGTGAGCTGAGATCGCGCCACTGCACTCCAGCCTGGGTGACAGAGAGAGACTCCATCTCAAAAAAAAAGGCTGGGTTATGCATTTCTAGTGCCTCTTACAACATAACGTGTAGGGAAAATTATTTTATCACTTGAAAATGATATAAATTTGCTTATGTAGGATACGACTTAGAGAGAATATGTCAGTTGTCTATTGTTTGTTGACCAATGGAGGAGATATCCCGACAGGGTAATGCTGATCTTGGTAGCCTCCTCTGACTCAGGGATGAGGTAAACTGAGAAAATTCTTCGTTGGATGAAAAGATTGGGAAGGTTGTGAATGGTTACAGCAATTTCTGTTAAATATTTGCAAAGGAAGGCACTTCGCCACATAAAATCTTCATCGGTGTATTTGCATGGAGATTAGCATAAATATGCATGTGATTTGCATAGGCCTTTTCTTCCTCACATTGGTTTTAGTTCTTATTTATTTATGGTGATATTCTCTTCTCTACACTGATGCCATTTTTTCCCTCTATGGCCTCCCACATAAAAGAAGTGTTTTTGCTTTAAATACAGATCTAGGGAAACATTTCTTTTGGTGAATGAGTGATTCATGTAAGGTGAGAGGAATTGGTTTCTGGCTCAGTTTATTCAAAGTTTGGGATGGTTTGTCAGTCAATGTACCGTTCCATGGAATCATTTGTGGCCTTTGACAAGACAAGTAGGAGCATCTGGAATGTCCAGAGTGATGGGCAAAGGGAAGATAATGAGTGTTTAGACTAAGAAAAGCCCAGACATGCCCCAAGCCCAGAGTACCACAAACTAACTGTGTTGTCTCGGGCAACTCACTTATTTCTAGTCATCAATTTCTTCCATAATAAAATAAGGACATTAAATCAGGCCATCTCTAAAATCCCTTATAGCTCTAAAATTTATTATTTTGACAGACTCCTTGCTCTAATTATATAAAAAATATTAAGCACCATGTAGCACATTAAATAATATCTGGTGCCTTGCTGTTCTGTGTCAAACTTTTCCCCTTTGAAGGGTACTGGATGATTAATTTAAGCTTCTCTTTATAGGCACTACTTTCCTTGCTCATTTATCTCAGTTCAGTGGGCACACAAGGTATAACTTAAATGTTTATAGAAGACACCCATTAATATACCACTTGTGGTGCCAAGGACGTGCACAGTAGTTGGCTCTGTAGAAAAAGAGCTTAGTTGTGATAACGCCGTTTGATTTGTCACCTTCTACTCTAGATCTGGGTCACCTCCAGGTCTCCTGAACAGGGGCTTATCCAATTGCATTTTAACAAAGATGTTTCTTCAGAAATGAGGGGAGAGATCATGACAATAGACAGAACACTAGGGGATTGGATAGATCTACTTCAAACATGCAGACAGTGTTGAATCTCTGCTTTATTATTTTGGGGGGGCTATTTCTGCTAAAATCCAGCATGCGTTATGTGCTCACTACTTAAACATGTGCAAGCTACCCTGTGAGCATTTATAGGTGAACAGGTCTCTTTTGCTTATACCAGTGTGTGTGCAAGCAGACATATGCAGGTAGACACATATGACTGGGCTGCTCTGAAACACACAAGAGAAATTTGATCTCTTCTTTAATTCCCTGGAGTATGAAGCTGAGGTTGATGTTTTAATGATCTCATAATGCTAAGATTAATTTAACAATATGTAGTGGCTAGTAGTCTCTTCACATTATAAAAGCGTCTCCTTTTTACAGCTCTTACTTTATGATGAGAAAATATTTATTTTGCCTAAGAAGTTTACCTGGGGCTGTGATGGTTGATACAGATCTGAGCTGAAGCGGACTTGGCTTTGGTTAATAAGCCTGGATTGTAGTTCCGGCAGGGAAAATAGAATTCTTTCAACCTTATTTTGTAGCCTCCAATCTTTAGAGGGAAACTGTATATCTCAACTATTGTTGCCATTTTCTTTTGGTAATGAGGTACGTTTGATAGCTTTTGACCAACTCTGGTATGAGTTAGACCATTCTAAGTAAGGCTATCTGGCAAGAGGACAAATGGAATTTCATAACACTGTGTGTCAAAATTATAAATTGAAAAAACAAATAATTAAAGAAAATATATTTCATCCTCTTACCTTGACAAATATACCTTTATAACTACTTGGAAAGCCAGGTTCAAATTTAGAATTTTTGGATTCCTTGGAGTTCTGCATTGGGAAATAGCAGCACAGGGGGAACCAGCCAACCCCTAGTCCTCAGCCTATGGTCTGCTCCCTTCTCTTCCCACCTTTGGCTTTGTCCTATGTCATGCCCCAGCCTCATGGACAAGCCCTATCCACATTTCTGCAAGTAGTCCCCCATGGCTGCTCCTCAGACCTTGCAAGATGTATGGTTTGCCTTTAGAAAGATGGATCCAGGGCTGGGCGTGGTGGCTCATGCCAATAATCCCAACACTTTGGGAGGCCAAGGTGGGCAAATCACAAGGTCCAGAGATTGAGACCATCCTGGTCAACATGGTGAAACCCTGTCTATACTAAAAATACAAAAATTAGCCAGGCATGATGTTGCACGCCTGTAGTCCCAGTTACTTGGGAGGCTGAGGCAGGAGAATCGCTTGAACCCGGGAGGCGGATGTTGCAGTGAGGTGAGATCACACCACTGCAATCCAGCCTGGTGACAGAGCAAGACTCAAAAAGAAAAGAAAAAGAAGGAAAAAGAAAGATGGATCCAGGGAAGAGGCCTGCACAAGCCCTGAAAAACAGGCTTAAGGTTTTTTGACTGGGCAATGAGAAGGTCCCAGTCTATGAACTATTGTCTTGAAAGAGAATATGGGCTCCAGTAGAATGCGATCTTGGCCCCGTGGAACCCTAGTTCCGTGGGGAAGGATAGTTCTGTGGGGAAGAAGAGAATGCCATATTAGCCCCGTGGAACCCTAGTTCTGTGGCCATAGGATAGTCCAACCAGGGTCATCTAAAACAGGATACCCTAGAGCAGAGAGTCTTGAGTTTAACAGTGGTATTGCTGTCTTATCAAAACATACCAAATTCATTCTCTTCCCTTCTCCTTACCTGCTATATCACCTGCTCAGGTCTAACCCCCTGCTTAACAACCCAGCCATGTTCCACGGGGCTTGGGACTGTACTATAGAAACCAAAGTTAGCTGAGTTATTGATGGATGAAAATCAGAGCCAGATCTTTCAGGGTAATTGATTTTTTAGTTATTGGTCAATAAAAGCTACCTGAAGCTAAAGAGTCCTTTGTCAGAACAGTTAATTATCCATTCGAAACCAGCTCTTCTACGAGCATTTAAAAGCAATTCCTGAAGCAAAAGCAACTTGAGCCTCACTTGATCATTTTGCATGAAACGTCCCTTTAGGTTTTTCTTTGAGAAAATGTGAAAGAAAGGCAGCAAGCTCTTTTGCACCATCTTGTTTGTCTTCTACCCTCGTGTGGACACGTCGTTTCTCTGCAGTCACCCCTGCTGCTGGTTTCCCGGGTGTTTCGATATATGACTTGCGGAAGAATGGAAGGGAGTGCTGTGTTGGTATTAGCACAAGAACAGGGGCAGTACCCCTGCGGTGTGTTCTCTTTGGTATTTGCATAGATCTGACTCTTGCCAGACAAGTGTTGACTTCTTTCCTCTTTTCTTTTCCTATAGCTCGAGAGGAGAATGTGGCCACTTTCCGAGGCTCAGAGTATCTGTGCTACGACCTGTCTCAGAACCCGATCCAGAGCAGCAGTGATGAAATCACCCTCTCCTTTAAGACCTGGCAGCGTAACGGCCTCATCCTGCACACGGGCAAGTCGGCTGACTATGTCAACCTGGCTCTGAAGGATGGTGCGGTCTCCTTGGTCATTAACCTGGGGTCCGGGGCCTTTGAGGCCATTGTGGAGCCAGTGAATGGAAAATTCAATGACAACGCCTGGCATGATGTCAAAGTGACACGCAACCTCCGGCAGGTAATGGCTGAGGGGAGAGAATGCCTGGAAGGCTCATCCTAGGTGGCTGGGTAGTAAGTTTGTGAAGCAGGTGACGGGTGTGAGGTGGAGAGGGGTGGAGATTCAGGGATAGAGATGTTAAAGTCTAGCTTTCTCCCAGTCTTCGCAATTTCACATGGAAAATTATTAAAATATGTTTCTCCGCATACTTCAATTCTCCCTCTGTGCTTGTTATTTAAGAAAAAAAAAATCAGTTGTATAGATAATAAAAGTTGTAAGTACTTTCATTCCTTTTATTCTGCTTTCCTTTTATCATTTTCTTAATTACATTTGAATCTTATCGTATTATTGTTAAATTCAATTAGGGACGGCATTTTGTTTCTGCAGTTTCGTAGATTTTCCTCATTCTTTGAATATATGTTTTTCTTTTTAATTAAGTTAGCCATTGCCACAATGCCATAATTTTAATTCCTTCCAGAAAAAGTCTTCCTTTTTCTCTTTTAATTTACTACCCTTTCCCAACTATTTTTTTTTTCTTTTACGTTAATCTCTAGCTTTGGAATTAATTAGCCGGGATCTTTCTGAATTCCTCTGTTTCTCTGTTCCTTGATGCGGCGGTCCTACTCTATTGCCCCTGTCTCTCCCTCCGAGACTCTTCAGTTGACTGGGAGGCCTGGAAAGTGGAAGGACCCAAATAAAAAAGTCAACTTTGGAGCAGCCCTTCCTGGTTCTGTCCGTGCTTGGGAAGTCCCATCGCTTGCCGATTCTAAGCAGGCACCTCCGTCAGGTGACAACATTCTCAGAAAGCCTTAGCCAAGTGAAGCTGTTTTCAATTTCATGACTAATAATAATGATAACAATAATAATACCTCATCAGCCCACGTCAGTGAAAGAAAACCATTTCCTATAAAAATCAAAGTCTGTGCTGAGGCTGACTTTTCCAGCTTGCCATTGTTACTTGGTTTTCCTATTTGCTAATCTGTCATTAAACCCAGTTGGATGGTATCCAGGCTTTATTAACCAGAAAACACTATACTTTCTGAAGTGCTTATCAAACAGTGCTTACCAAATTTCCTTCTGCCATATGATTGATCTAATGCCTTCTAATGTCAATGTGAAAGCATAAGAAATGATAGGTGTTTGCCTATGTTTTCTGTTTGATAAAAGTGTAACTCCTTACTAATGCTAAACAAATGGTATAGGCTGGCACACATTTGAAACACATTTCCACACTTAGGTATGTCAAGGAAGCCATCCTGTTGGGAGATTACAGTTATCTCAGGTAAAAATACCAAATGACATAAGACTTAGAGTCCCCAATCATCTCAACATTCATGAATCTGATATTTTTGAATATTGTTCTGTGTTTTTCCTCTAAGGCCAAAGAACTCTATTGCTAATATCTTCTTTCATCATTCCCCATCCATACTTACCCAGGAGAGAACGTCTCAACTGTCAAGAGAACCCAAATCAAATATCCATTTGCTGATACATAAGGGCTTGTTACATGTGAGCTGCAAAGACTAGATCTGAAAGTGAAATACAACCTTTTGCTAGTTTTGATTGGCAGGTACAAAATAACACCCTTTAGGCATTAATCAGTGGAGGAGAGACTTTTCATGTACTTCAGAGCACAATCAGGTCATGGTTCTCACCAATTTGTTTCTCTAACTCTCTCCCACCACCCTTCCTTGCCATTCTGGAATGATTCCAATTCTCATGTGAAAGGCTCACTTTTGTTTCTACTAAAAACACTTTTCTAAAATAGTATCAGGCCCACTTAAGTCCTTTAAATGGAGAGAAGATAAACCAAACTGTAATTCAAATATTGTTTGTGCTGTTTTAATCAGAGCGGCTAGAGGAAAACCACCCTGGATGTTTTTCCCGCCCCTGCCCCTCGTGCTCTAAGGCCCAATTCTGCTCTGTGCCCTTGGGCAAGCCATTTGACCTTTCTCCACCACAGTCTCCATTTGCAAAATGGTGATTACAATCTTCTGCAGCCATGTGTGGTGGCTAAATATGCAAAGCACCTTATGTTCCAGAAGGATTATGAGCTCATCCGTGGTCTGGGTATAGACGTACTGTGACGTGCACATGATCTACAGGCTGAGCATTCTGTTTCAAAGGTTACTGCATCTGTCTGGTGCCAAGGATGCAGCTAAGTGCAATTCTCTGTGCTAGACAGGGGTACAGAGGCCCTACAGTATTGGGGGTATTTCTTGGCAGAGGGAGTATTAATCTTCTGTGAGAAAGTGAACCTAAAATTGAACCTCATTGAAATTCTGACTAAATTTTGCAACCAAATGCAATTTATTGAAAGAGGAAAATCTCTGAAAAGCAAAGTTGATTTTGCAAATTCAATTATTTTAATGTGAATAATGTAAGATTATTATTTTGCCCATTAAAATAATATTTATAACATCTGTTTGAGTTCCCTAGGATACATTTGAATGGTGGGACATTCCTGTCTATTTCAATTAAACTATAAATAGCTCCATAAATATTTGACAACAAACTTATAGCAGCCTTATTCATTCATATTTTTGGTAAGATTGAATGGCTTTTATGGCAAAAATTCATCTGAGTAAAGTTTACCTGGGGTTTGCTGGAGTACTTACTACCAAATGGAGCAGAACTCTCCTCATTTCTTCCTTCATGATCATCTATTCATGGGTTTGCCTTTAAGCCAGGTCAGGACCAAGGCCAGGTATTTTATTATGGCTTACAATTAAAGGAAGGAATGTGGACTACCTGTATCTGTTGCAAACTATTACTGGGATTAGGGACCAAGGTAGTGAGGAATTCGTGTGTTTGTATGTGGTAGTGGGTGGTAATTGGTCCTTGACCTTGCCTAACTCCAAGGTCATGGCTATAACTTTCATGGCTTTACCTCTACGTGTTAACTTTTGTTAAACCACAAACACAAAACTGAGGTTACCAGCCTTCCAGTCTTCCAGAGGGCTTTTCTAATCATGTTTAACCTGCCAGTCTTCCCTCCTATCCATACAATAAATTACATAAAAGCTTGAAAAGCATTGTTCAAGAGGAATTGGGGGAAAGAGATTCCAAAACATTCTGGCAAAGTAAACAAATTGATGACCTTATTGAGTAATAAAGAAGATTCTAACTTTTTTGATGCATTCTATTAATTCTAAACTGAAAGAAAAATGTTCCTCTCTGGTTGCACATATCCACAAAAATCAAGTAGGTTGTAGATGTTTAATTATCCATGGAAACCTAGAGTACACTACATAAGGCAGACTTTCTGTGCTAGGTTTGATCTGTAAATGTTTTAAGTTTTTTCCTTTTTGGGAGGAAGTCATGATCATTTATCTACCTTGTAGTCATAGTCAGATGTGAAAAAAATAAACCCCAAAATATTTGTATTTCAGTTCTTTGTATCTATTTATCTACATGTGGAATGGTACCTGTTGGGGTCTTTCCTTTCGGAAGAGGTGGAATGGGTTTGTGTTAGAGGGTGGGAAGGGAGTGGGCGGTATCCATTCAGAAGAGTCCTTGGGAAGTAAGTATGGTGCTAATTGTAGCGGGTGAGGTCTGGTCTGAGAGAGGTTTGGAAGAAGCAGGGAGCTGCAATGGCATGTAGACTGCAGCTCCTTTTCTGGCTGTGCCCCAGGTGGCATGGTTTTCCATAGAGTCCTGGTCTCATTGTCTTCCCCCCACTCTCTTTTTCTGTGTCGGGTGCCTTTTTTTTGAGAAACTAACACAAGATCATTCATGCAATGTGTCATTTTACTAACCGACTAATGTACTAACACCCTAACGACTCATCTTTGTTTTTAGTTTTTTTAATTAACAATCGTTCTGTTCACAATTTTTAATTTCCTTTCTTCCCCCTTCTCCGCAAAGCACTCAGGCATCGGACACGCTATGGTAAACAAACTACATTGTCTGGTAGATATCATTCTTATTGTCTCTTTTTTTGGGTTTGCCGTGTGTTGCCCCCGTTTTCCTCTCCAACCCCCCCTTTTATCCTCTTTAGACTCATTTCTTCTTTTAAGATTTTTGTTCAATTAAATGCAAGCCTTTCTTTTCCTTAAAAAAAAAAAAAAATGGAAGGGGATGCACTGTCCTAAAAATGATATTTGGTTGAATTTTGTGGGGAAGGTTTTCTTTTCTCTAGTTTTCAGTTTTTTTCCCCCCCAAAAATGCTTTTCTTTCTTTCTTTCTTTTTTTTTTTTTAAAGTATCTCCATTTGGCTAAATCTGTTTTGTTTTGTTTTCTTATTTTACAACTTCCAAGTTACATACTAGAGACAACAGAGATTTATAGTGAGAACTTTCTGCTTTCTGTGCCTTCCTCTCCCTCTTACTCTTCCTCTTTTCTTTTTTTCCTCCTTTCCCACTCCTTAGTCCCTTTTCTCTTTCCCTTTTATGTGGCCACGGCTGCCACAGGTGATCTGGGGAGGAAAGTACTCAACTTCCTAGACTCTTTCTTACCCTTCTTTTACCTTACTCCCCTACCGTGGCCAAAAGGATATCCACGAGTTTTGTTCTCCATACAAACTCTGCATGGCATGTTCCTGTCTCGTGAATCTTCCTACCTACATCAGAATTTGTTTCCTCATTTTCCTCCTCATTACTAACAACTTACCAACCATCAACCCAATTTCACTTTCTTCTCTTTTATTTTTCCCCACTCTTCATTCTCCTTTCATCTTTCATATATTTTGGGGTTGGGTTTGGACTTTTTCTTTTCTTTTCTTTTCTTTTATTTAGTAAGGGAGGTGGCAGGCAGAGAAAAGACTACCTTTTAGTTTTGAATGCTTTTTTTTTCACTTCCATCTTGTTCTTCAGTTTGTTCAATGCATGTAAGTGTGAAGTGGATTTTTATTCTTTCCCTAATTTCTCCCCACCCTTTCCCAGTTTTGTTTTTCTTCTGCCTTCTCTCTTGGTTCCAGATGATTTCTGCATGGGTGTATCGGTGTATGGTGTGTGCATGCTTTGAGGCCCCATCGTTTCTCTCTGCCCTCTGCTCCTTTCATGGATGTTGGGTAAAAGGGTGCTATTTCTTTTCTGTGGGCATTATTATTTTTATTGTTTTGGTTATTATTCCTCATCATTCCTTTTGTTGTTGTTGTTAGAGTTGCCTTTTTGGTTTGGGTCATTTCTTCCCTTGGAGGTGGTGATGGGAGCCAAGGGAGGGTAGGGGTTGGTGTCCTGGGGCAGTCCATGGCATGTATCATCCATGACCATATCAGAATCAAGACCCTTCTCCTTCCCTCCCTGAATGCATGTTTGTCAGCGTGGTGTGAGCCAAAATAAATATATTAATAACAATAAAGATAAAAGAAAAGAAAAAAGAAAAGAAAAGAAAAAAGGAAAAACAAAACCATCAACAACCAAAGACCAACCCCTAACAAACTTCATCATCAAATGTCTTCTTTGCTGTTTTTCACTACCACCATGAATAACAATCATGTAACAAATAAGCAATCATTTTAGCAATGAACTGAGACAAGTGATATCGTCTGAGGATGGTTCCATTTTCTAGCCTGACTGTGTAAAGATTGCAATGGGTAGAACAAGGTGCCCGGCTTGGAAATTCTAACAAAGTCTTCCATGAGTCTGCAGGGAAATACTGAAGGCTTGAGACCCAGGGAGGCAGACCAGAAAATGGAACTTGGCTGCACATACCAAAATCAAATCAAATTAGAAAGTATACCTCATGAAAATCTTAATGAAAGTGATGCCACAAGTAGGGGAAGCCACTGCCTTATGTTAGGATCGTAAGGTCATTGTTGGGATTTTTTTTGTCCCTATGTCCCTCCACCAGGTGACAATCTCTGTGGATGGCATTCTTACCACAACGGGCTACACTCAAGAGGACTATACCATGCTGGGCTCGGACGACTTCTTCTACGTGGGAGGAAGCCCAAGTACCGCTGACTTGCCTGGCTCCCCTGTCAGCAACAACTTCATGGGCTGCCTTAAAGAGGTAAAGTTCACCCAACTCTATTTAATGCACCATGTGATTGTTTCATTTATAAACAAATGACATGTCTAAATCAATGACTGGATCTGTCCACAAATCTATGAAGTGATAGATTGCAGCATAAATGACCTTGGACTTGAAAGTAGGTATCCTACATTTTCATTCCCGCTTAAGCTGGTTGCATGACCTTGGGTTTGTCAATTTAGTACTGTGTTAGTCCATTTTCACGCTGCTGATAAAGACATACCCAAGACTGGGTAATTTATTAAGAAAAGAGATTTAACTGATTCCCAGTTCCACATATCTGGGGAGACCTCACAATCATGGCAGAAAGCAAGGAGGAGCAAGTCACATCTTGCATGGTGGCAGGGAAGAAAAACTTGTGCAGAGGAACTCCTCTTTATGAAGCCATCAGATCTTATGAGACTTATTCACTATCATGAGAACAGCATGGGAAAGACCCGACTCCATGATTCAATTACCTCCCACTGGCTTCCTCCCACTGGCTCCCTCCCACAACAGGTGGAAATTGTGGGAGCTACAATTCAAGATGAAATTTGGGTGGGGACACAGCCAACAATATCAAATACCCTGTGGTTCTCTTTCCTTATCTAACAAATTGAGGCTCTTATCCCACAGATGGCTGTGCTTATAAATTAAATGCAATCACACAGGTGAAAGGCCATTGAAATCACAAGGAACTAGATGAGTGTAAAGTTTGATTTTTGTGAGTTTGACCTGGCAAATAGGAAAGCTCTAGCTAAAAGTAGCTCAATTTGTTGTTGTGTGCCCTGTCTAAAATATAACATATGTATTATTTTACCTTCACTAAGCCTGGTGTTCCCAAGGGTCTCATTATTTGAGATGAAAGAAAATTCTTATAATGTAACATTAAGGTTCAGAAGACTGGTTTTTCCTTTTCTTCTTCTTCTTCTTCTCTGAGAGCTAGTAGCTGTGAAAAAACAGTGGGACTTTGCCATTACTCATTTATTACCATTGTAGCTGATGTGTTGACACCTCTGTCTGAGAGCAAAAGAAGCTTCAGCCAAGTGTAAGTGCAACCTCTAAGGTCAATTGTTGAGGCAAAAAGAATCAGATTTAATTTGGTAGAGCTCTTTCAGAACACTGTGGCATCAAAGCAGTGCACTGCACATTTTGTTTAAGCTAAGCTTGATTGCGAAAGTTATCTATACCATCTCCCTCGGGACATTTCTTGAGAAGCAAACAGTGTTCCTTCTTGTAGATAACAATCCCTTGTGACATCTTATGAGTCTCCTCTCAGGGCATATGTTTTATTCTTATTACGGTTATTTGAAATTTATTGAGCATCATTTGTATATGAGATGGCACTGTCCATGCGTTCATTCATGCCACTGCCCTGTGAGCCTTGTCCAGGCAGAAATTGTGTCTGTTAGGCATGGCATATAGATGCATAATAAGAATTTGTTTGTCCATTTATCTAATAATCATTGGGTACCTTTTTTTGTGCTGTAACTAAACTTGGTGGCTCTTTTTAAGCCATGATCTGCATGCTCCAAGGCTTTGTCTTGTAGGAAGGGAGATGAGATCAGTGAGTGAGTAAGTATAGCATAGGAGAGCAAGTGCTCAGTGCCATAGACTAAATGCTGTAATTGAGTAGAGGAAACATAAATTTTAGGTGGAAGTCAGTTTTAGAGAAAGAGTGACATTTGAGGCAGGCCTTGTTGTAGAAAATCATGTGCAAATTGAGAGGAAGGGGTAGAAAAGAGAGACAATAAAGGAGGGAAAATCCAATTATAGCTTTGTATTGTTCTCAGCCTGTAGAATGAAATAAGAGGAGCACCCAAAGAGTGCTATTATCTCTCTGCAGGATGTTACCTAGGCTTCTGCTGGCTTCAGAGATTTCATCGTCATTTCTGATGGAATTATGGTAGGCATAGAGCCCTTCCTCCCTGGGGTTTACTCCTATTTGGATAGAATAAAGGTATAGACTATGCACTGTCTAATGAACCCTGAAAGTCTCTTAAACATTGTTAAATCACACTACATTGGAACTGCATTCTCATCAGAAAAAGACTGCAACATTCTTGTTACCAAGGACATGGCTCAGGAATGAATGAGGCATTGGTTGCTGTGGAGTGCTCATTCAGTTTTGTAGTGCAACGGTCCTGAGCATGAAGTTTCTCCAGGACAGGATTTAGGTCTGGCCTTTAGGATTAATTTTCTCCTATACACAATTGTATTGAGCTATCTCTCTATTATATACTTAGAGACAAAGGAACAATTTCCCAACCACGAATCTTCTATCTATTAATCAGGAAGGAACATTTTGAAACAAGTCTCATAAAAACACAAAGATGTTTCTGATGACTTTATCCATGTGGAAACTAAAGAAAATAAAATACACACACACACACACGCAGACACACACAAACACAGACACCACACACACACACACACACACACACACATATATTTTTGCTGTCCAGAGAACAGAAAGCTTCAAAAGTCTGTCAGAAGTATTACTGAATAGCTTAAAAGTTAAAGGCAATTCTGAAAAACAGTGTCGATAATAGAAATAACTATAATCAGTGATAACAATATATCCTTATCTTAGCTAGCAGCACAAATATGCATTTAAATTCAGACCAAGTTAGAAAAAGGAAAGTTCGAAACACTAACGGAAATGATAGGCAAAGCTAGAACTTGATAAACTCCTGCCCCATCTGTTTTCCCTGTACAGCATGATAGTCTTTCTAAGGCACTCGGAAGGCTTGTTATTTGTCTGAGTACCTTGAACAGATCACTTTGAGTCTAACGTAGTGCTAATATGTTATTTCTTTGCGTTTAATAATTACACTTCACTTTTCTGTGGGCAGGTCTATGGAGATACTTCTCTTGTTCTTGGTATTTGTTTTTGATAAATCAGTTAACATCAAAGGCTTCCAGATATGTTAAGATTCAACTACCTGATAAACCCCACTCACCCACTTAAACCATAGAACAGTCTCTAATTATTTCACACTCCCTTCTTCCCCTTCGTTTTCCTCTTGCTGCCTTAAAAAAATCTTCTCTCGCCATTTGTGGCTTTAAGTTGTTCTAAATGAAACTAAGTGATTTTATGTGTAATTTTCTTCAAATTAGGGACATGGCGAAGGGCCTATGCAATTTCTGCTCCAGATCATCAATATTGCTTTGTGTGTGGCACAAAACAGGTTTTGTTGTTGGGACTGTAATTACTTCACACCTAAAAACTAAGTTCTGGCTCCATGATTGTGCCAAAGGGACTGGATATTACTCATGTGCGTACTTCCTAACCTCATACCCATGTGAAAGCCACAACAAAGCATCCACATTGTCATCAAACTATGATAGTTCTCTGCACACGTTGGTTATCAATATAAGATTTGTGTCCACTTAAATATCACGAAGTCAGCATCTTGTTCCTTTTCATGTTTTAGTGTGTCTGTCTCATATTTGTTCTTATTGTGTCCCCAGCTCCTAGAATGGTTCTTGGCACTTGGTGGCTCTCAGTCAATATTTGCTGAGTGAAATCACATGATTGTACATTAATAAATACCTTTCCTAAATGAATGCTCTTAGGTACTATTGACCACTTGACTTACCTGGGATGATTAAAGAACATCTTGACATGGCAGTGGGTGAATCTTTCAAGAATCTTCTCTCCCTCCTCCTGAGCTATCAGATATGAGAAAAAGATTATATTGAAAGCCTCAGCAAGGCTAAGAGGAATGATTGGAAGTTCCTCTATGAAAAATGGGATAGAAAAGGCTGTGAGGGAGGCATCAAAGTATAATGAAAAGAATACTGGGCTTCAAATCAGAAAATCTGCTTAGGAATGTTAGCTTTATCACTGGCTATATAATAAGGTCACTGATCTTACTCCAGTCTCAGTTTTCTAACCCAAAACAAGGAGATAATAAAACTTCTTTTGCATTCTTAAGAAAAAAAATGAAATGATGTACATAAAAGTGAAACCATACAGCATTACAAAATACAATGTTTTTGCTTATAATAATTGTTAAGGATTATATATTGCATTGTATAAAATAGTTTATAAATAGAAATATAAGTATAAGTGAATATCCATTAGCACATGGAATCTCTATATTTCTCATATGAGCAAGTCATTGTCAGGAAAAAAAACCCCATTATTCTGAGGTTTGCCCTACATAAATTCTCTCGTAATGCAAAAATAGGGATAACTCATCCTGCCTGCCCTCAATGATTACTTTGTTTTTTGCCTTTGGCCATTTATTTGACACTATGTTTTCCTTTCTTAAAATGTGAATTCCATGAGAACAGAGGTCTTATTTGCTTATAAATGTTTCCCCAGCACCTAGAATGGACCTTGACATTAAAAAAATGCACTCAATAAGTATGTCTGGAATAAATAAATAAATGAATGGAGCTCTGAAATCTGGTGGAGTTTAGATGAACAATGTATAAGTCCAGACTGCTATTAAAAAGTATCATAGGCTGAGTGGCTTATAAACAACAGAAATTTATTTCTCACTGTTCTAGAGGCTGGAAGTCCAAGAACAGAATGCCAGCCTGATCAGGTTCTGGTGAGGGCCCTCTTCTGGTTTGCAAACTGCTGTTTTCTTATTGTGTTCTCACACGGAAAAAAAGAGGATAAGAGTTCTTTAGGGTCCCTTTTATAAGGGCACCAATCCCACTCATGAGGGACCTTCATGACCTTCATGACCACCTCCTGGAGGCCCCACCTCCTAAAACTGTCACATTGTGGGTTAGGATTTCAACATATGAACTTTGGAGAACACAAACATTCAGTGCATAGCAAACAATATATCCCCCAAACCTATAATATGCCAAGGGCTGTGCTAAAATATAAATATGAGTCAAACATGGTTCCTGCTTTAGAAGAACTCACATTAGTGGGGAGAGGCAGACACACACATAATTGCAGTAAATAGCGGTTAATGCACAACATGAGACATTCTTAGTTACAATGTGGCTGCTGAGGAGAAGGACCTAATACA